TAGCCTTGTTCTTAGTTGTACCTGGTGAAGCTGCCTTCGATTTTGATCTCCATTGACGCTTTAACGCATCAACAAGCGCACCATAGTTTTGTTGGGAAGCAGACGGAGGAGTCTCTAATAAGTCTAAGGCAGGACCACGCAATGCTACAATCAAGCCTGTAGCCATGTCATCAGAGCTCCAACGATTAGCCATTGCGACAGTCCCGAATTGATGTCTGTACATGTCTGTACTTTAGTACCAGATGCAGGCGAGGCTGAGACATTCACTGATCTTAACTCACATTCCAAATTTTCGATCTTTTTTTCAAAAGTATGCATTTCCTAACGAAAAGTACCAACTTCCTGGCGAACAGTTCCAACTTCCTGTTGAACACTTTCAACTTTCTGATGAACACACCCAACTTCTTCATGTAGTACTTCCATTAACCTTTTTCACGTGGCTCCGGTTTAACAAACCGCAACATACCGCTCAAATTCGAGTGGTAGGTATCCATCACGTCACTTTGTAACCGGCAGGGCCGTGCAAAGCACGCGCGGGCCCCAGTACAGCCATTTTGACGGGCCCCCCTAAAGGGACCCCAAACATTTTTGAGTGTCACGACGGCAAAATTTTTACCCAAAAGTCGTTAAAAAAGCACGCCGCGGGTATAATTTTTTTTAGGTATTTTTGAAATGAAACGTGTTTGCTTTACAAAAATTCCGATCGCGTAAGGGGAGTATGAACAGCGTATCAGCGATGACCGGAGGGGGGATATGCACACGCTCGTCGCTTGATTGAGAGAGATACATTCCATGATTGAAAATTCGAATTAAATTTAATCTCTGGTTGAAATCAAAGTCGGTGTTAAATGATGGTTTATGAATGTAAGATCGGTTTTGCGCTAAAATTAACCGTTTAGGTTTTACAGTCTATCAAAGTTGCGAAAAAGTAAGTTTCAGTTTCAACTGTCAATATTTCCAAAAGAGTTGAACTTAGGTAAAGGGTATATCACATGAAATGTGCTCAGAATTTTATGTTGTACAATCCGAATATTCAATAATATACAGAGTATTCCATTTATAATGGGAGAGTTGGACCACGATCAAGGTCCCAAAGTTAATAGGTTGCCTGGTAATGGGTAACTTGATAACGCATCTGGGGTGCCTTATGGAAATTTACATGCTGAGACACCCACACGGATAACGTCATAGAGTTATCGTTATCAGACAACCTACCTCTCCCAAACGACCTTGACCACGACCAGCTTTTCTGAAACACTCTATATAAGTATGCGAGAGTGAATTTTAAAAAATAATAATTTCAACCATAAAACTTTCATCTGAGACACTTCTTTCTAAAATATCAAATAAAAAAGGTAGAGGGAGTGCCATTTATAATCAATATCCCTGTACCAGTACCATAGACGTAAGAACATTTTTGGCAGCCCGGGCCCCGGGCCCCGGTAATTTATACCGGCCGCACCCCCCTATGCACGGCCCTGGTAACCGGGTTAGAAAACGGTATGTCATTTCTCTAACCGTTTTGTAACCCAGTTAGTTAAACCGGAGCCACGTGAAAAGAATTATTGCATTCGTGAATATATCGTCTTGCACTTCCAGAATTTTCTCGAGTTTAGTTTGGTCCTCAGAGATTACGGTTTGAATCCAGTTTCCCTGAAAGTCAAAGTTTCCTGAAGCCGGTCCTGTCCTTCTTGTTGTTGTAAAAGTGCTGCAAGTCGGTCCTGTTCTTCTTGTTTTTCTTTATGTCTTCGGTCATTTTCTTTTTCTTTCTGTCTTTGGTCTTCTTCTTCTTGTTTTTCTGTCTGTCTTTTGCCATCTTTCTCCTTCTTCCTGTTTTTTGTTCACTTTTTTGCCATCCACAAGTTTCAATAAATCAAGCACCTGGTTAATTTGATCTTCGACAAATATTTCATCATAGATTTATATACAATATACAATAGCACAGAAATCACGACAAAACTAGCACTACATCAACATGCGAAACTACTTAAAGTCAACAGTTTTATCACTATAAGTGATTGCTTTATCGTCCAATTCAAAACTCTTGGTCATCCGCGTCACGTGCCGCTTGCCCGCTTACATACCTTTTCAGTTTTTCCTAATTTTCTCGAAAATTCGCTTCAAGAAATCTCCGGCAAGGCTAAGTAGTTTATACATACAGGTTGTACCATCTAAAACGAAACAGGCTAAAATCTGATGCCACGTTTATTTTTTAAAAAATTGCTCGTACACGTAATTTGGTTTTCAAAGGAGGAAGTTTTCTGCAACCGTTTTTAGCTCTTCAACTTTAACCCTCTAGGCGGGGTGGGACCAACCCTTAGTATTTCAAATGAAACAAGGGGTCGAGTGATACCTCTTTTAAAAGAGCGTTCAATTCCCTTTTATTTGAAAGAAAATTGAACGCTCTTTTGAAACAGGTATCACTCGACCCCCTGTTCCATTTGGAATGGTAAGGGTTGGTCCCACCCCCCCCTAGAGGGTTGAGTTAGTGCTGAAAATGTTTCAATCACTCACACAATCAAATCACGTATACGAGCGATTTAAAAAAAAATAAAAATGACATCAGTTATTTAGCTTGTTTCGTTTTGAATGGTATGCCCTGTATATTGAAATGCTTTTTTTTGCATCGTGCTTTTTGCAACGAGATGTAACAGCACAAAAAATTCGTAATTATTGCAATTTACATGAAACCCTGAAACCCACGATAATTATTCTTCTGAATTCCTTCTAAATATCAAAAAATATTGTACGTAGTCAACGCGCGTCATAGCGTTACGAATTCTTAATTGGCGTAAAAATGTAGGTCGTACCGCATTATTATGAGAACAGCATAGTCGCATGTTAAATAATTTCAAGCAATTTGGCAAGGACATTTTCAAATAGCAGGTAAGTACTTTACCTGATGTCGTTTCGCATGCGAAATTGATGGTGCTGTTTTGCAAGAGTGACTCAGAGATAACGAAAATAATAGATGATATTACTGAAATTATTGTAATTAAGTAAGCATTACAAAATTGGAGAGTACTTGAAAGGTACCATCCTAATTGGTATAATAATCAAAAATTACGTTTGGCCCGGATGTTTTAAACAATACAAGAGTTTATTTAAAATGCAATTGTGTAAAATATTTTCTCAATGTTGTCTAAACTTTAATAATGTTAAGCAATGACCTAGAAGAAATTTTTTCATAACATCATATCAATTGGGCAAAGATAGAAATCAGGTGGAGAAGGTACAAAGATTAAAATGCTGAAATTTACGGTTTTATTGGTAGCCATGTAAAACCTGTTTCCAACTTGGTAAAAGCAGATCCTCCTGCTTCACTGAATGTGAATCTTGATGAAAATAGTCCATGATTTCGATTTCTAGAATTTTGAATACCTAATAATTTGGTTAGTAGAAGGTATGCTGTCATCCAAACCGAATAAAAAATATCACAACACAAAATTAAGAAATATAATTCTTTCTTATTCAAGATCTTCCGATAGATCAAACTTCTAAGTAGGTATACCTCAAACAGTTAAGCTGAAGAGACAAAAAGGTTAAAGACCAAAAATATGTTTGAAAAATATAATAATTATTATAATTCATTCCATACCTTGTCTTTCAAAGCATAGAATTTCTGATAAATTACTTTTAAAGCCAATAAAAAAAAAATAGAATGTACTCAATTGATATTCTGCCAAGATTTGAATTTTAAATTTTATTCATCGTATATCGGATAAGAATATGTACTAGCTATTATAATGCTATTATTTTATTTTATGTAATCTATTTTTCATGGTGCAGGCTTGCATTTTTGGTTGCTTTTTCCAATGGTACGTTCGTGATCTCTTTTGGTAATTTGGTGGTGGAAGACAAATATAACTCGAAACTTTTTTGGTTTATTCAAGAGAACAAACATGTTTCATGAAGAACTTGCTTGAAAAGAGAACAAATTGTTGAACTATTTCCGTTTCTATTGCACCCCAACAAAGATTTACTGACAAAAATCTCATGTGTTCAATTCTGTCTATTGGAATTCTGCCGAGTAACTGAACCAAGAATTTTAGCAGAAATTCTCTTCTGTCTTTGAAATGTTAACGTTGTCGAATATTATTCATTTTCGTCATTTTACAAAAGACGCCTTTATAGGAAATGTTTTGGAATAACAATAATTCAGATTTAACGATAATTATTTCATAGCATTATTCCCAATTTTTCATAGAGTTCTTTCCATTTTCAATGCAACATCTTTCACTAAATGCTGAATGCGTTTTCAAGATTAACCCTCTAGGTTAATTTGGGCTAATTGGGCACTTTTCTCTCTTGCCCAAAGGAGTGATCTAATCCTAATAAACCAATGTAATTCTATAAATCAATTGGGCTTTTTTAGTATACGTTTATAATGTCCAATTTGATTATTATATCTGCAAAAATTGATACATAGAGGGTATTCATTTTAAAACTCATCCCCCCTCAAATTATAGTTGACGTGTTTCAGGGATTTTTTCGAAAATTTTTCAACTCCGAGATAATAGGAGTGGTAAATTTTAAAATGATCACCCTGTATATTAATTGCACTTAACTCGTGGGCTGCAACAAACACCTCTGAATTAAACTGATCCAAATGTTACGCCAATTAATGTCGACTTAAATAAAATTGCTTATAACTTTGACGAATATTTTTCATTCAGATCAGGTGTAGTCATTATTAGGCATATAAAATACCTTTAGCAACTACCATTAGTGAACTGAATATTAACTCGAGCAAAGTTTAACCAAAAAATACAAAAACACCACCATTAAAAACTCAGAAGCAATAAATAAAGTAATTAACCAAATTGCTCGTCCATTTTGATCCATTTGCTATAAACGACTATGACAAACAAGTACATAGGAAATTAATTACCATTTCTTGTATGATAATTAACTTACCAATAATTATTATACGTTTTTTTTTTTTCATTGGAGGAATTAATGAAAGCACTCGTGTAGTACCATTCGCGTAGATACGGTGGTAGGTACGTTGGCTGGGCGGTACTTAGGTGGTGGCATGTGGACTTTTTTCGTTAAGTTGCTGTGCCAAATTTTGGGCATTGAACGATCGGATTTGAGAATGTAAGTAATGGTGGGGGTGGATACCGTGACGTTGTAAGTCTCGATGTCATAAACTTTTAAAAGTGGTTTTGGTCAATTAAACGATAATATGGCTTCTACTTCTGCAAGGTGAGTTTTTAGCGAATAACCATTAAAATTTTTTCAGTAATCTCGGAAGCATTTTATGTGCAGTCTATGTTAGTTCTTCAGCTAACAACATACCAAAGCGTCAGTAGCTATGACCTGCAATTTTTTTATAAAACTATACATAAACTCCTGGAGTGGATAAAAAGCTGTCAAATAGAACCAAGTGAGGATAAATGCAGTATCACCTTCTTTTAGTTAGTGGTCTCAATCCTGAATCCATAGCTGTTTCATTCACCTTTGTACTTCTTCTCTGGGCATCATTGGATCACTCCAACATTATCTGCAAAAGGTCTTTGAGGATCTGGAGATGATGATAAATCTACCTAGCTCACATTGGCGACAATATTTCTATGTTGGAACGTATCAGATACCTGATTCTGGAATTGTTTTTTCAAAAATGTATCGTGACGCATTTTCGTATCGCTAGCTCGTGTGTCACGGTCTTGAAATTTTACTCTCAGGGCGCGTAAAGAAGTTTCACTTCAAAAACAAGTCTGGAAAACGCCCAATATCAGCTCACCATCTAAAAAGGTTGGAGGTTTTAAAAATGCTCTCTTTAACACAAAAGATGTTTCTTGAAGAAATTTTTAAATAACCTCCCTTTGGAGAACTTTGGCTTTCCTTAGGCTTGTAGCTTTCCGAATTGAATTTGAGAACAGGAATACGTTTGCCATATTTGCTTGGAAACAAAGGACCCACACCTTACATGGGATTTCAGCGATCGGTCGATTTTTTTCAAATTTTGATATGTTGTAGAGGATTTAATTCTGAACAACCTTTAAATAGGACGAGATTTTGTAGGTATTACGGTCTTTGAGATATGAGCGTTGAAAGATGAACTTTTTTGCGACTTTTTGTGTGGAGAGTATACGAAATACCTACTGGTCCTATCAGTCAAAATATTGGCAGATTCTAATGATATTTCACTAATGGACCGGCCCTGGCCATATTCTCGAACAGTGTTTGTCTGCAGCCAACATTAGAAAGAGAGGTCCGAGAGAGATGGAGCTATTTGTGGCAAACACTCATATTTTTATCTAAGGGCTGTAATAGGTTGTCATTCTGCCATCTTATTTTGCAATTAAATGCAGCACAGGGGAGAACCAAATTGATATTTCATTGGCCTTTCACTCAAATATACCTAACAAAATAGTCAGATCCGGGAGTGATATTAAAAAAAAAAACGAAATTAAACCGATCCGAATAAATTAACGTTGACACAAACGTTGACAACTTGCTTGATAAAAACAACAAGCACGTAAAATCCGTCGAATCCTGTTGTGTTTTGCCACAATTAGCTCTATCCTTCTCGCACTGCGTTGGAATCAATAAATCGCCACCAAGGGCCGGTCCATAGTGAAACGTAATAGGTTTGTTCGGACTTAGTTCACAATCAATTCTGAATTGAACTGCGCTTGCGCATTTGTTCATATCGAATATAAATAAGCAAATGCGCATGCGCAGTTCAATTCAGAACTGATTCTGAACTAAATCCGAACAAACCTGATATGATGTCATTGGCAGGTTCACATATTTTACGTCACTAACAAATGTCAACATCGGCTAAGGCCGGGACCGCACTGGCGTCAACATTGGTCCCAGTGTGGTCCCGTCCTTAGCCTATGTTGACATCATTAATTTGTTAGTGACGTGAAATATGTGAACCTGTCAATCTTTTGACTGATAAACACCAATGGCACCAGTATTTCGTATACTCTCCACACAAAAAGTCACAAAAAAGTTTATCTTTCAACGCTCATATCTCAGAGACCGTAATACCTACAAGATTTCGTCCCATTTAAAGGTTGTTAAGAATTAAATCTTCTACAACATATCAAAATTTTAAAAAAATCGACCATTCGCCAAAATACCATGTAAGGTGTGCGGGGTCCTTTCCATTGGTTTTCGTGGAATGAAATTTTCTGTCGCTTCCGCTATATTTAGACTAGACCTACTATTTCCCCGGCCACCTTTTTTATCTTTGTCAGATACCTTGTAATTAGATTGCAGATCGCATTTGGAGATATTTCAGCTTGTTCCAGCACTGCTACCTTTCCAGATATGTTTTAGTTGGTGTCCAAGGCCAGCTTCCTCGGTGGTAAAGTGCTCACCTCCTATGTGAGATGTTAGCCGTACCCCTTCAACGTATTTCAGCTTTTTTTAGAAGTGAGCAGGGCATTCACAGGTTAAGTGTTCTATAGTTGATGTTGCTTGTTCGCAAGATCTGCAGTTGTAGTTGTTTGAGTCGCCTATTGTTTTTAGGTGATATTTCACCAAGCAATGCCCAGTGAGCAGATCAACGACTATTCTAATATCTCTTCTGTTCATGTCAAGAAGTTGTTCAGATCTCTTTGTTGAGATAGATATGAACTTTCTTGCCTTTCTCAGATCCGGAATGGATCACCAGTGAGCTAGCATTCGGTCCTTTTCCCACCAAGAAATGAAGAATTTCTTCTGAGACGTGGCCCTTCATAAGTCCACAAAAAGGCTATGTATGGTTCTTGAAAAGGTGTTAAAGCGCCTTGCTTTGAGAGACGGCCTCGTTGCCCTCTATGCCCTGGTGTCCTGGCACCCACATCAGGGTAACTTTGCTCCTCCCAGCCAGCTGCAAAACTCCTAATTTAGCTGCGAAATGCCCCTGTCCGACAGTATGTGAATGTACTCTCTTAAGAGGCCTATTTTAAGGCACTCTTGGGCACAGATGTTTATGGCCAGAACCTCAGCTTGAAATATTGTGGGCTTTTTACCCATTGCTAAGGAGTAAGGAGAGTTTAAAGTTTGGTCTAGTTATTTCCAGACCGGATCCTTCCGTTAGCTTCGAACCATCTGTGTACCACAATGATGCGTTGTCCACTTGCGGTAGCTTTGCACAAGTCCAGTGAGGTTATCATGATCTGTTGGTTCATATTGGCACTCGAGCACTATATATTGAAGGATGCGTAAGTGGCCATTCAGATTACCAGGTTAAAATATTTTTGAAAGGAATGGAGTTTTTGTCGGCTACAACAACCGAAAAGCGTGGAAATTGCAAATGAAGAGAGAAGTTAAGGAATTTTGGAGGATTAAAAATTTTGGTCTTGGGCGGGATTCGAACCCGGGTCTTCAGCATTGCCGGTGCTACGCTCTAAGCAACTTAAGCCATCACGACCCTACAGATCTTTTTGATTTTTGTTTTGGTGTTGTTAGAGAAAGTTACGAGGTTCTCCGCTCATTGTCAAACTTCTCAATCCTCCAATAGACCCACACATTTATGGCATTGGTCAATTTCCACGCTTTTCGGTTGTTGTAATCGACAAAACTTCTTTCCTATCAGCATTGCCTATGCGAGCATCGCATACACTGAGTTCTAACACTCATGGACGAAACCTAGTAGTAGTAAAGTATCGAGCCTTGCGGAACGCCAGAGGTGACAGAGTATTCATCAGATGTGCACCCACTAAGAGAGATATATTGAAAGCGGTTAGACAAGTATGAGCCAAGGAGGCCTACGAGCGAGTAACAAAATCCTCAAGAACGAACTTCGTGATTTAAAATATTAGGATCTAAGCGATCAAAAGCCTTCAAGAAATCTAGATATATAATATCAACCTGGGAACTATCATCAATAGATTTAGCAATATATTGAGAAACCTCAAGTAGGTTAGTGACAGTTAGTGGATCTTCCTTTAAAAAATCCATGTTATTGAGGACTTATTTGGTTCTTCACAGCAAGAAATATCTTATCATATAAAAGAAATTCTAAAACTTTACAGAAGTTACAAATGAGAGAGACTGGCCTGTAATTTGTGATCTCCGCTCTATCGATTTTTTGGTACACAGGAACAACTTTAGAAGTTTTCCAAAAACTAGCGATACATGTCTGTTGTTTTTAACTATTTTATTGGGCCCCACGTAGGAGGAAGTGTCAGGCTGTATAATAGCCATCGAGTGAGATGCGGACAACAGTGACAATTGCCATTGGCTGAAAATATTAGCTTTAAGTTTGACACAAGCATTTCCATAAACAGTACAATTAGAAATATCCCAAGTCGCATGATTTATATTTACAGGGTTGCCATGTTTACCATTATTGAATTTGATACAATTAGACCATTTCAGAACCTGAGACTGGCAGCTGATCACATCGCGGGCAGCATTGTTCGTTAGAAAAATTAGTGATTAAACTCATTACATTGAAAGCATCGGCTTACCTGAAGAGCATCATAAACGATACATGATTCATATCCAACAAAAATATTGCCCACCCCTATAAGACAGTCATAGGTGTCACGATCCAATTGTAGTACAGCCTGGTAGCGATCTGCAATTTTCTTAGTTTTGCTCAATCTTATAATAAAGAATAATTAAAAAATATGTCTTTGCTTTGTTCAGCTGTTTTAAGATTGACCATAAGTCACTTGCATCCTAGCGTAGGTATCTGTGAATCCAACAATCCGCACTCGTGGATTAATTCTTTCAAGTTCTCTGATTTCGTAGGAGTCCGCTAGTTGTTCTTCAGCCAGTTGTTTGAATTTTCGGTTTTCCTCGGAGCTTTTGCAACCGATAAGGACGCCTCCATTGCTCGAAGAATTGTTTTGTTCAGTTGGTTGTTCCAAGTAAGTTTGCGACCCCTAAATACTCAAAGTCCTTCTTCCCTACTCCAGTTGTTGATCATATTCAGTACCTGTTATTATGCCTTAATGCTTGCCTCCTGATTATTACTGTCAGATCATTTGCATAGCCTAGGACAGTTATTCCGACGTTGCTTAGTTTGCTAAGGATGCTGTCTACCACTAGTATCCACAGGAGAGGCGAAAGGACACCACCTTGAGGGCAGCCTCTAACCGTGTTGACAGTAACTGTTTCGCCGTTCAAGTTCGCTGATACGCATGGCT